TTCAAATTTCAGAATTTACTTATTAGTTCTGCCTTTCCAGGCCAGATCCTTCACCTCCCCGGGTCCCATTTTCCTTCTTTCCGAATGGGGTGGTGAGGTCCCCCTCGGGGGATTCGTGTGAAGTTGCCATCACAGCCCAGGGCCCATCCTGCAACAGGCACCAGTGAGCGGTAATGGTGTCATTATTTTTGTTCTGTAGAACAAGGCGCCTTCTTTATCGGCTTCTCCCTTTCCCCCTCATGGAATGGGGCTCCTAAGGCCTGTGACCATCTGAACCGACTCTAGTTTTATCTAAAACAAACACCGGGCCTGCCCTAGGGTGGAGTCAGGGACCCAGATGCCCTTGTCCCCAAAGCCCACCACAGTCGCCGCAGTCATGGCTCTGCCTGCCTGGGCGTATTTTCCCTCCCGGAGGAGTGATGTGTTAGAGAGGGTGTTTCCATAAAAACTCCCAGAGGAAGAAGCAGGTGATTAAATGATGTGCTGGCTTTCCTCTCTGAGACTTCGGGGAAGTGACTAAGGAAGTTTCTGGAAATTGGGGTCCATGGCAGGAAGTATCCAGACATTTTGGAGCCCTATTGTCCAGCCCTAGGCTGTCAAACCATTTTCATCCCACCAAGGCCCTGGAGGCGCATCTCAGCCAGAGTCCCAGGAGCGCCCTATGAGCTTTGGGGTTGTTCTTTGCCTCCACAATTTTACCTTCCAAGAAATAAACACAGCAGGGCATCTTAAAGGAGACCAAGCTTTTCCTGTCCAGAGAGAAGTCTATGCCTGATCTCACTCAGAAACCCAGAGTCCTCCCTCAGACCCAAGCGCTGGCTTTCTCTGTAGAGCTCCCAGATCTCTTCTCACAGTCCCCTATTCACTTATCAGGTGTAGCTTGTACTGTGGTGGCACCCAGGCGTCACTTGGTGCTGGGATTGTATAAGTTACAAGGGCTGTCTTTTCCTGCGTATCTTACATTCCAGCAGGGAAGACAGACAGTAAACAAATAAATGAGCAAATAAATGATATGATGCTGAAGAGTAAGGGCTCTGAAAAAAAATCCAGTAGGTTGTGGAGCCAGAGAGGGAAAGAGGCCACGATAGCCACAGTGTCAGGAAGGGGGAGGCTCGTAGGGAGGGTGTCTGAGCAGACACTTGGATTGAGGGCTAAGAGTGGCCAGCAGGAGGCCCTCAGCAGAGGCTGGGGACACAGGCAGAAGGCGCAGGCCCAGTCCGTGTTTCTCATGCTGTGTTCACCACTCCACGAAATTTCAACAC